TATTTTTGTGTCAAACACATTGAAGTACGAAAATAAGAAGGCGATTCTGTTTGTTAAGGAATCTGGAATACACAATGGAAAGAAATACAGCTGTAACACTTGCCACGTCTAACATGAACTCTCCTGTAGCAGCTGCTATTAAAACAGAATATTCTGCAACCCCGTCGTCGCCCTCGATAGCAACGGATAGTAGGTCAAACAGACATTTCACCAGAACATCGGTGATTACTAATAACTGCTCTCCAAATGCAGCATATGCCACCCTTCTTAGTACACCAAAGAAGCATTTGTTGGATACAGTAATGCTGCAGACAATACGAAAGAAACTGGCAACACCGGGTGGTGTATTTGAACTACAATCCTTGCGTTCGGACTGTACCGTCGACTCTGGCGTCAAAGTAATAAAGGATAAATATATAATATGCGCCAGGCCTAATAATGCGGGCGACTCCAAGGGGCAATCGAGTTACCGCCATTTGGTGGACATGAGCCTGTCCAATCTTGTATGTACTGATATTTATACGGAGGAGCAGTATCCCGTAAAAATAATCAACGAGCCCTTCCATAAGGTGCAAGAAGCCTATTTTAAATTGCAAATGGAAGGTGAAAAACGCTGCAGCAGCATTTATGGGCATCAATTGATACGGGAAGCGCATGACATTGTGCCGATGGATAAGCTACGAACCTATATTATATTAGCTCCAGGCAACAAGAGTTCGGATTCTTGTAGCACTGCCTCCGAAGTATATGAGGATTTGCACACATATCTCAGGGAGAACCATCGACTCTGCGAAACAGAGGCACGGACGCTATTTCACCAGATTTGTGAAACTGTTCTTATTTGTCACAGAAACGGAATTATTTTACGTGACCTTAAATTGAAACGTTTCTTTTTCGTCGATGAAGCAAGGTAATTATGAAATATTTGGTAAATTTAGAGATCTATTGGTCTTGGGTTATCTCGTTCTGGATTAGAGATTGGCAAGATACAATAGATCGATTAAAAAGTATTGGTACTATGGTATGTAATGACACCGACGGAGTTCATTCTTAAAATCATTACACGGCGAGGTTTAATCTTGTTACACACATCAGTACATGATTTTGTAGTACACACACTCGCATACAAATGTAGATATGTTAGCCTTCCAACATCAAAGTTTAAACTCGTTATTGGCATTAACAAGCAAATGAATAACGAGATAAAAACTTCAAGCGACGAAAGACAAACAGCTAAACTGAATACAAAAGTATTTTTGGTATTGGTAACATTGAACGTTTTTGAAATGTCGAAATCAATAACAATGAAACACTCCTCGTCTAATTTATCTACGGCAGTGACTGCAAATTGTTTCGAAATTGTTGAGCTAAAAAGTATTCTTTCTCGGAACAACAAAAAGCAATTTTGAAATAAAGAAAACTTCGCTAATATATTACTAGGGGGATAAGGATTGTTTTAGATCATATGTGAACAATCAGGCAAAGTAAAAAACGGCAATTGGAATTAAGTTTTGAAGCTTCTAAAAATGTTAAAAATTTGGCTTAGCGAACATATAATCGTATGTTCGTTTTCTGAGATTCATTAGTCTTATAAAAAAATGAGTCCTTTCTCCTTTAACTTAGAAACGCGTTCTTAAAGTATGATGTCTACGGATCTTTTTGTTAATTCGCTTTATATGATGCCGACTAGAAGAAAAACAAAAAAGAATTTCCTGATAAAAATACAGTAGAAAATTCGGCTGCAATAGTCGTGACGTTATTAAAATTGTCTTGAAATTGAATTGCCCAATACTCGATTCACACAAGTTGTCACGTTTGCCTAAAAACACATATTTCTAAGGTCATTGAACATTTGGTCTATAAACGAAATTTATTTTCGACAATATGCTCGTATCGGGAAATAAAGTACACAGTTTTTTATTTAAGTTTTGAAGTCAATCGCTTTATTTATTTATCCATTCTTTTATTATTACATTGCAAAATAACATCAACAAATTATCTTTGCCCTATTCATATTTTTTCTTAAATCGATTCGAGGTCATTCGGGGTAATTGTGTTTTTATTTCTGTATAGTATGTTTACCCCTACATAAATAGCTGGTGCGACTAGCGTTCTCTCTCTTCTTTCTGTTAAATGTTTTCACCTTGTATCTGGCAGTGTGTCTTAACGATTCATGGAGTTGCCGTGCTCTTCTTCTCTAACCAAAAGCAACAGTTTGTGATTGTGTGGTTGAATTTGTATGTGTTTGAGTATTGATATCAGGGTCAGTTCGAGGTTTCGTGCATTGTTGTAATACTTGTTGAAATTTTAGGTTTTGGGTGTTGTTGCGATCACCGCTGACTGAATGTCGTGTATTACTACGATTGAGTTTATGAGTGATCGTGTTGGCAATGAATTTATTACAACATGCAGATGTCTGGGCGTTGCTGTGCTGTACGACAAGCAAGAGAATTAGAATATATTGCAATACTCTTTTTAATTTACGTAAACACTCTTGAAAACATAGAAAACTAATGAGTACAATTTATTTTATTTTTCAGAACAAAACTGCAATATGAATCTCTTGAGGGCTCGATGATTCTTGATAATCCCGAAGATGACACACTAACCGAGAAAATTGGCTGTCCGCTATATACTGCGCCGGAATTGCTTTGTCCCGAACCAAAGTATAGAGGCAAACCTGCAGATATGTGGGCATTAGGTGTTATATTGTACACCATGCTTGTTGGACATTACCCATTCTTTGTAAAAGGAAACAGCAATCTTATTTCCATTATTCGCCAATGTTTTGTACAGCTTCCGGGTCATTTATCTCGTTCGGCCAGGTGGCTCCTATTAGCGCTGCTAAGGAAAAATATCAACGATCGGGTGCCAATAGAGCACATATTTTTGTCTCCATGGTTAAAGGAACAACGGCCATTTCATATGTACATACCAGTTGACGTCGAAATTCCCGCTGATGAACCATTGAACACAAGTAGCTCCATGGATTGTGCAGAATTAGACGAAGATGTTGGCGTCCAGCCATTGGATTACTCCTGCAGCAGCTTAAGCCTTAACTGTACTTATTCGTATGCTGAAATGGGTTGATATATAAGACAGTTCATACAAAGAAAGCAATTTAAATCGGCATACCACGGCAAATTAGAGTTGGCAATTTTGAAGCTTTGTCATCTACAAGTCCTTGACTTGTTTGTTACCTTTCGTGGGCGCAAACATCCCAATAATGTTCACCTTATTCATCCATATTTTAACATAAGCTGAAACCAACATGTTGTCAACCCTCCTGTACATTTACTTTGAGAGTGTGAGACTGACTTATGGTAGACATTCATCGTGCTGAAAGTGCTGTGTAAAGTTCTACATTTGCAACCTGTAAATAAAAATAATATAGATTTTGTTACATAACTTAATATCAAAACGTTGCCTTGATTTTATGGAAAGATATTTATTCGAAGTTCTTCCAATGTTTCCATTTGAAATTTTATACTTAAGTCAAACTATTTTTGTTTAATTCGTATAAAAACGAAAAATATTTTTATTTTTGTTCCAAGATTGAGTAATAAAAAATAATTTGATCTCATTATGCCCGAAACTTTTTTTATTAATAGCATTATTTGGACTACAATTGCATTAGGGGGTCTGTGATTTCAATACGGAATGGAGTAGAGTGTGAAGGTTATTATCACCGAGAATACATAGTCAAATATATCGATAAAGGTAAAAAGAATATATGTTTATAGTCTACAAAGTTTAAAGATAATCAGAATGTTCAAATATATTTTAAGCATATTACGGAAAGGCAAAAGATATACCTTCTGAGCAATTTTATCAGGCTAGACAACATTGCGTTAGTTTTGGAGGAAACTACAATCACACGTAAAAAAATATAAGATTTGCGCATTTTTCCATGAACAATTTCCCGATATATTTGGGAATTATTTTCAATGGTAAATAACATGGTTACTCTTATTACTTCTATTTGAAATATATTTGTCGCACTATCTTTATTCGAACCAATTGAAGGTTTAGCTCATTAAAACTACAATGCTTTTTGCAAGAATAATAGTAATGATTTATACACGAATACTCAATCTAATCATAGATTTGGGAAAACCTTCTTAATATAAAATTAAAAAGTTAAGAATTCTTTCCTATGTGCTTTGTAAATAGTACAGTTTACGGTTCCTATGTCGCCACATCCACGTCGCGTTCGTACGATACTTTTCCATTAAAGGTGACCACCACCAACATGTATAGTGTTGTATTTTCTCTGACAGCTTCAAGCTGACGTATGTGACTAATACCAACATGTTGGTATAAGGAACAGCTGTGTATTATTGGATAGGAATTGGTGTAAATATTTATTAAAATAACAAAATACTTAATTCTCAAACATTCCAGACATCGTTGGCGTTGAATGTTGCCAGTTTTATCAAACGTTTATTCGTATAAATTTATGCACAAATATTAAGCCTATAACACATCATAATGTCCCATCAAAAGGAAGACATGTTTAACAGACAGCTAGCAAAAGGTAGGTATTTGCTGGATATTTGTAAATGGATATCATATTCCTTTAACCAATTTTGCGTTGTAGAGATTTTATTTCATAAGATACATTTTAATAAACCTACTTAGAAAACAATCGCTAGTTATTATTGACATTTGCATACTTACAATGATTGGTTTGAAATGGGGTTTTTATACACGGGTCATATCTTAAAGCTAGGCCAAAGTTCAATGGTGTCAATGAGATGCGTTAATAAATCTTCTCTTTTTCAACAGACAAAAATGAGAGCAATTACAGATTGAGTACAGATTTCAGAAGCCACTGTGCCAATAACACCAAACTCGTTTGCAAATGAATGACCCGCGAGATAGGAATACTATTTGTCTTTGTTATACGATTAGGCGTTTGTAATCGCCGACGACTCAGGTGATTTGAGTGTTCAGTTGCTATCTTCTTGCGAGCCTTCTCAGTAATCGTGTTCGTCTGGCTCTTTCTGCGGGGCTTCGTTCATTACTTTGCGAAAATAATTTACTCTCTCACTTTCTCATTGGCTCTCGTTTGAATTTGTTAATAACATTTTGAAGAGCACGGAGAGGCAACACTCGTTGCAAAACCCAATTTGTTTATAGATCTGTTCATTTAAATGTATTGACCATCATTTTGGACTTTCGATTTTGAAATTTCATTCAGTTTTCAACCACGACTTCAATCAGTTTAACTTCAACCGGTTCCGCGTTTGTTTTATAAACACGTAAAATTGTAATTCAAAAATAAATGTGCAATTTACGACGTGATTTTCGCTTGTCAAGCTAGAAATCATGAAAGTAACTGGACGAGATGTATCAAAGTTTTCATGTAATTTAAAATTGATGAAATTACAAAATTCCACCGAAAAGAAGTGTACCTGTACTACATTTGCCGTTCCTGTTATTACAATGCACAAACCCCCAAAGACTCATGCCAGAAAAAGCCCATGGCGCAGTGGTTCGAAGATTTGTAACACACCTCAAAATAGTCCATTTAATTCTAGACAACGATCATACAAAACAATAGGGAGAGAACGCGGGGAAAAGATAACTAATTCTTGTTCGTGTACTGCTTCCCGTCCAGAGGATGAGTACCTATGTAAGTTGTATTTTTTGACGGTTCCAGAATACTTTATTACCAGATATCTTTTCAAAATTCAAGTTATTTAATACTGCATTTTGTTTCTATAGTGTCGATATGATTGGCTATTAAAGTAAGTTGCTTACCCCTCACGTCGAAATTTTGTTTTTATTGTCGACCGACTGATAAGCACGCCACCTTTAGTATTTATAATTACATATACATTCTTAAAAGTTCGTATGTGAATTTTTATTAGATCGGCTAGTAGGTTTGAATTCATTCGAAATATTTACTTGTCCATTGTCACTTCTACCGATTTTGATAAGTTCAATGAATTTGATCATTAATTATTTGATGGCCAATTTCCGTAAGAATAATGCCGTTTGAGTTTAGGAAACTCTTCGTACTAGCAGTCTGCTTTTGGTTTTTGTGTCCTATTCTCGCAAATTTGTCAATGTTACAGATTTGGCTATCGAGGGGATAAGAGAAATGCTGAAAATCCAATAGATATAAGTAAATACGTATGCGTTTCTTGTACTATATTACGCAAAACTACTGATAGGAGAATTTGAAATGCCTCATAGTGACAAACTCGTGGAATGAGGCAAATACATGATTTAAAGTTTTTATTGTAACACAGAATATATCTTATATATCAACACATTTGATTTAAAGTTATGTCGAATTATTACCTTCATAATATTTTTAGCCATGCCTTGGTTTGGAATGGACATTGGAGGCACTCTTACAAAACTAGTATATTTTGAGCCTAAGGATATTACGCCCGGTGAACAAGATGAGGAGGCAGAAAGTTTGCGAAGCATCCGTCGTTATTTAACAAAAAATTCAGCTTATGGCAAAACCGGCCATAGAGATGCTCATTTACAGGTGAGTGATGAATTCTTAAAATTTATCTGGTACTGCCAAATTATAAATAATATATAAAAGTTTCACGATGTTTATATAATGACACCCCATTAAGAATATAAGCTTATATAAACTCGCAGTAGTATAAAAATTGTATTTCGTTCACTTTGTTATTCTACAGACCTTTGTACACGTATAGAACGCGACATTTACGTATGTAGATATTTGCCATTGCCTCATAGTATTGCCATTTAATTAGCATAACAATTGCGTTTTTAATAAGGGTGCTCAGATTACTGTTTTGGAAATTTACATGTTGACAATGTAAAATCTGTGATTGAAAAAGGAAGCGGATTAACAATTTGAAATTTATGAAATTCGGTATTTAATACACAAACAAAGTTTTCCGTAATAATGTTCGTATATTCTAGATTACATTTTAAGAGCAGCAAGCTTTAAACTCCAAGCATCAAATAGATCGTAGATTTTTTTTCATAACAGAAATATGTTTAAGCCTTCCATAAAATAATAATTTTGGTTATCTCGGTTTTCAAAGCTTATATGTTTTCTCAATCATTATATTAATAACCATTAAACACTATTTTTAAAGATAGAATTACATAAAAACTTATATAAACATCAATGTTAAACGAGCAATAGTACTTTGTACAACATCTAACTACCACGACAGATGAGTCTGCATTTAAATTATTAATTAATTTAAAAAAAAATTACAATCTTCAACATGAATTGGTATTCAGATGGACAATGTGGAAATACGAAAAAGGAAAGGATCGCTACATTTTATACGCTTTCAAACCACAGATATGGGCAACTTTTTGTCGTTAGCCAAGCAGAAGGGTATGGCAGAGTTGGTGACAACAGTATGCGCAACAGGAGGAGGCGCTTTTAAGTTTGAAAATGATTTTCGAGAGGTAAGTAATGTATTGCAATATCTTATTGCTTGTTAACTTAAACGCATTTATCTGAAATAAGCCAGAATGATTTTACCGGTATGACAAAGGTGACATATATCATTACGGCTGTTTTAAGGCGATAATTGATGAGCTTATATTTTCAGATGGGTGCTCTTGAATGATATGTATTTTTTTTGTGTTCCAATTTTATTTTTGCAGCAAGTAAATATGAAGTTAGCAAAATTTGATGAGCTAGATACCTTAATTAAAGGTATTCTTTTTGCTGAAATACAAAACCGTACGGAATGTTATTACTATGAAAATGCTAGAGACATCATGTATGTTATTGAATTATAGATCAATATTATTACATAAAACTTATTTGATATTTACTGTTTTTCCGTAGGAAAAGTGAAAAGAAAGCGTTCGACTTTTCACAGCCGTATCCATTTATTTTAGTAAATGTGGGTTCTGGAGTTTCAATATTGGCTGTATATGGCCCGGATAACTATAAACGAGTTTCGGGAACAAGGTAAGATAATCCTTAGGTTTGTGCATTGTAACATTAAATATAAATATATTATTTTAGTTTGGGAGGTGGTACCTTCCTTGGTCTCTGTTGCTTACTAACGGGCTGCAATACATTCGAAGAAGCAATTCAGCTTGCTACCAAAGGTGATAATCGGAAAGTAGATAAACTAGTTCGAGATATATATGGCGGTGATTACGACCGTTTCGGTTTAACTGGTGATCTTGTGGCCTCTAGGTTTGTCCATGATAAAATTTCCTTTGCATATTTTGTTAATTTCAACATATTGTAGCTTCGGACAAATGCACCTTAAAGATAAGCGGTCGTCCGTATCACGTGAAGATCTCGCAAATGCAACACTAGTTACAATAACAAACAACATAGGTTTGATTGCTCGTATGTGTGCGCTGAACGAAAAGATGGACAAGGTATGTATAATTTGTATATAATCTTATCCAAGAATCATTATCTATTTTTAAACTTCCAACAGGTGGTATTTGTTGGTAATTTTTTACGTGTAAATCCCATTGCCATGAAACTTTTGGCTTACGCAATGGAATTTTGGTCAAATGGCACCCTCAAGGGTTTGTTCCTGGAACACGAAGGGTACTTTGGCGCTTTGGGGTGTTTACTTCAATTCAACGGAGAAATAGCCGCTGCGTTAAATGATACGTTCGACAAATGCACAGCTACTTCACAATCGTCTACAACAGATAAAAGAGAAAATTGCATGTCACCACTAGACGACACGTCGAGCGCATCCAATGATGATAATTCGCCAAAAGAAACACAGAGATAGTTTTTAATTTGCTTTTAAACGGTGCCTTTATTTATTTTAAGCATTAAAAAATCGTTACTTCCACTATATTATCCTATAGGCTGCGTTTAATCGATTATGTTTTGGTCTATGTTTTACCAGTAGTAGATAGCGTAAATAGTACTATACTGTATATAGCCTCACGTCCTCCGCAGGTATGCAGCTCTGTTGGTCAGCTCGGTTTTAACAGATTTCTAATATTACAAGAGTTTTACCACATTTAAATTTCTCATTTAGTCTAATTCTCACTTGCAGTGAATTGGCCATTTTCAAGTCGTATACCTATGTCGAGCCATCCGAAATACAAAGGCGCGAAATATACAATGCACAACATTTTAGTCTTTTTGCTTATATTTGAAATTTATCAAATACTATTGCTTCAATTATATCTTTATTGACTATTTATATCAAATGTATTTTGTTTTTATGTTTATATATTAATAAATTGATTTGAGATGATTGAACGGTGCCAGTATACTTTATTTTTGATTTATTATTGCCGAAAGACATTAATATTGCTGTAGTCTCTACATGTGCCACAGTTCACCTTAAAGTCCATTACATGCACACTGCGATCTGTGGCCACAAATAAATATCGACTATCACAAGCTATACTATATACAGGAGATGATCTAAACTCTCTTCGGCGTTTGTCTCGGGATTGTGGGAAATATAACTGCATGTGTTTTGATGGAACACGTATGTCATATAGGTTTACTCGACTATGATGTTTAGTCCCGCATAACACTGCGTATAAGCCATCGTATTCAAGACAGTAAAACGACGAATCGAACGGATCTTCCCATATATGCTCGTCTTTGTTCGAACGTCGATCGTACATTCGAAAGGTAGTGTCGAAGTTAGCGGTAAACAGCACATTTTCATCTTTAATTTTAAGATCATAAATTGAAATTGTATTGGAGTTCAAGATGGATTCGGCCCCACTAAAAATGTAATTACATAGTTTGATATTAAAAATATATATAAAAATACAGAACAATTAAATTATAACATAGCTTTATAGTCTAATATTATCGAAACAAATTTACACTGTTGTTGTGCTTCTCATCTATGTAAGCCTTAGTTCGAACAACGGTAATAACTTCAAAAGCTAGTATGTCTGTTATCGGAATATACCACCGCAGTAAAATACCCAGCATAATAAAAGGAATTACTGCATAATTAAGTAGCACATGCTCTGCCTCTTTTGCAGCAGTCCACATAAAGTCAAGAAACAGACATTCTGCTCTTTATATCTTAACAAATTACCACGTGCACCGAAATCATTGCATTTTTATAGGAAACATTTATAAATGCTTCTATACATATAACTCCAAAAAGCAAAGAACGAGCACGAAAACGCATAGTGAAAACTTTAGATGTTTTGGAATTCAAATTAATCTCTTTTCTATAGCTCCACTTCCAAGGAGACTATGCGAAATGGATGTCTTAATAGCACTTGTTCTATAAAGAGAATGGTACCAAAACTAGTGATTATATAACAACATAGTAGAGATTATAAATCAACACTAGACATTTCAATTCTGGGGCAAAAATTCTCGCATTCAACATGGAACAATTTGCCGTAATATATTATCCAATATATGTTAAATCGATCGTGATTTCTATAATGCTAAAAGTTGTAGATGTTTGGGAAAGGTTCCCAGATAATTTGGCTAAATTCGGGAAACTTGAGGTTGGCTTCATGATAACGAAGCATATTTCTAAATTTTCGCTGTCCTGAACTGAGCTGACATGCTTTCTAGGCAGATTTGCAGAGCAATTGCCGTATTATTTTACCCATGTTTTTTTAAGAATTATTTAATTTATACTAAATTAATCGCGACTACATGTTACATAGTTTGGGTTTATTCTGGAAACTTGTGGTTGCTTACATGTTTCGGTAGAACACATTAGAAATCAAGTAAACAAGTTATTTATTCCATACTACCAAAACTCTTTTGATACAGGAGATAAAAACAATTGAAAATCAAAGGAGAAACCCTAGGATCAGCGTATTATACGTCAAACTATATTCACCGCATTGAAAGGGTGTAATTTTCAAACCCAAAGCTATTTTCAATTCATCAAGTCAAAACACAAACTTGAAGAGACTATATGCGAAATGGATGTCTTAATAGCACTTGTTCTATAAAGAGAATGGTACCAAAACTAGTGATTATATAACAACATGGTAGAGATTATAAATCAACACTAGACATTTCAATTCTGGGGCAAAATTCTCGCATTCAACATGGAACAATTTGCCGTAATATATTATCCAATATATGTTAAATCGATCGTGATTTCTATAATGCTAAAAGTTGTAGATGTTTGGGAAAGGTTCCCAGATAATTTGGCTAAATTCGGGAAACTTGAGGTTGGCTTCATGATAACGAAGCATATTTCTAAATTTTCGCTGTCCTGAACTGAGCTGACATGCTTTCTAGGCAGATTTGCAGAGCAATTGCCATATTATTTTATCCATGTTTTTTTTTTAAATTATTTAATTTATACTAAATCAATCGCGACTACATGTTACATAGTTTGGGTTTATTCTGGAAACTTGTGGTTGCTTATATGTTTCGGTAGAACACATTAGAAATCAAGTAAACAAGTTATTTATTCCATACTAAACAAAACTCTTTTGATACAGGAGATAAAAACAATTGAAAATCAAAGGAGAAACCCTAGGATCAGCGTATTATACGTCAAACTATATTCACCGCATTGAAAGGGTGTAATTTTCAAACCCAAAGCTATTTTCAATTCATCAAGTCAAAACACAAACTTGAAGAGACTATATGCGAAATGGATGTCTTAATAGCACTTGTTCTATAAAGAGAATGGTACCAAAACTAGTGATTATATAACAACATGGTAGAGATTATAAATCAACACTAGACATTTCAATTCTGGGGCAAAAATTCTCGCATTCAACATGGAACAATTTGCCGTAATATATTATCCAATATATGTTAAATCGATCGTGATTTCTATAATGCTAAAAGTTGTAGATGTTTGGGAAAGGTTCCCAGATAATTTGGCTAAATTCGGGAAACTTGAGGTTGGCTTCATGATAACGAAGCATATTTCTAAATTTTCGCTGTCCTGAACTGAGCTGACATGCTTTCTAGGCAGATTTGCAGAGCAATTGCCATATTATTTTATCCATGTTTTTTTTTTTTTTTTAATTATTTAATTTATACCAAATCAATCGCGACTACATGTTACATAGTTTGGGTTTATTCTGGAAACTTGTGGTTGCTTACATGTTTCGGTAGAACACATTAGAAATCAAGTAAACAAGTTATTTATTCCATACTAAACAAAACTCTTTTGATACAGGAGATAAAAACAATTGAAAATCAAAGGAGAAACCCTAGGATCAGCGTATTATACGTCAAACTATATTCACCGCATTGAAAGGGTGTAATTTTCAAACCCAAACTATTTTCAATTCATCAAGTCAAAACACAAACTTGAAGAGACTATATGCGAAATGGATGTCTTAATAGCACTTGTTCTATAAAGAGAATGGTACCAAAACTAGTGATTATATAACAACATGGTAGAGATTATAAATCAACACTAGACATTTCAATTCTGGGGCAAAAATTCTCGCATTCAACATGGAACAATTTGCCGTAATATATTATCCAATATATGTTAAATCGATCGTGATTTCTATAATGCTAAAAGTTGTAGATGTTTGGGAAAGGTTCCCAGATAATTTGGCTAAATTCGGGAAACTTGAGGTTGGCTTCATGATAACGAAGCATATTTCTAAATTTTCGCTGTCCTGAACTGAGCTGACATGCTTTCTAGGCAGATTTGCAGAGCAATTGCCATATTATTTTATCCATGTTTTTTTTTTTTAAATTATTTAATTTATACTAAATCAATCGCGACTACATGTTACATAGTTTGGGTTTATTCTGGAAACTTGTGGTTGCTTACATGTTTCGGTAGAACACATTAGAAATCAAGTAAACAGGTTATTTATTCCATACTAAACAAAACTCTTTTGATACAGGAGATAAAAACAATTGAAAATCAAAGGAGAAACCCTAGGATCAGCGTATTATACGTCAAACTATATTCACCGCATTGAAAGGGTGTAATTTTCAAACCCAAAGCTATTTTCAATTCATCAAGTCAAAACACAAACTTGAAGAGACTATATGCGAAATGGATGTCTTAATAGCACTTGTTCTATAAAGAGAATGGTACCAAAACTAGTGATTATATAACAACATGGTAGAGATTATAAATCAACACTAGACATTTCAATTCTGGGGCAAAATTCTCGCATTCAACATGGAACAATTTGCCGTAATATATTATCCAATATATGTTAAATCGATCGTGATTTCTATAATGCTAAAAGTTGTAGATGTTTGGGAAAGGTTCCCAGATAATTTGGCTAAATTCGGGAAACTTGAGGTTGGCTTCATGATAACGAAGCATATTTCTAAATTTTCGCTGTCCTGAACTGAGCTGACATGCTTTCTAGGCAGATTTGCAGAGCAATTGCCGTATTATTTTACCCATGTTTTTTTTAAGAATTATTTAATTTATACTAAATTAATCGCGACTACATGTTACATAGTTTGGGTTTATTCTGGAAACTTGTGGTTGCTTACATGTTTCGGTAGAACACATTAGAAACCAAGTAAACAAGTTATTTATTCCATACTACCAAAACTCTTTTGATACAGGAGATAAAAACAATTGAAAATCAAAGGAGAAACCCTAGGATCAGCGTATTATACGTCAAACTATATTCACCGCATTGAAAGGGTGTAATTTTCAAACCCAAAGCTATTTTCAATTCATCAAGTCAAAACACAAACTTGAAGTGCTGCCAATACTGGAACAAATTTCGATTGAAATTGATTTATTTGGGTATGTTAATTTTAGATCAATGAAAGCGAAAATGTTGATAGAAACGACTAGAATTTAATCTTATATTCGATACCCAGTTGTTTCCACTGAACTTTTCAATTTAATCTAGCTACAATTCACATAATAAAATGCAAATGCTGATAGAAAAAACTGGGATTTAATCTGAGTCACATTTCGAAATTGGTTCGCAATCGAAGTCGAGAATTTGGGCCTTATGATTGCGCTTTATTTTTTTATTTGCGATCATGGCAATTATATTGTCTAAAAAGGTGACAGAAGACATAATTTCTGGTAAGCTACTGATGTCAAAATGCTCACATTTAATATGGAATCAATTTCGATTGAAATGAAACCGTGTTTACTCATTTTGGATTGACGAAAGTAAACTGTTTAAATTAACAATTGGAATTTAATCGAACATTCGATATCCAGTCGTTTCCACCGATATTTGGGTATGTTAATTTTAGATCAATGAAAGCGAAAATGTTGATAGAAACGACTAGAATTTAATCTTATATTCGATACCCAGTTGTTTCCACTGAACTTTTCAATTTAATCTAGCTACAATTCACATAATAAAATGCAAATGCTGATAGAAAAAACTGGGATTTAATCTGAGTCACATTTCGAAATTGGTTCGCAATCGAAGTCGAGAATTTGGGCCTTATGATTGCGCTTTATTTTTTTATTTGCGATCATGGCAATTATATTGTCTAAAAAGGTGACAGAAGACATAATTTCTGGTAAGCTACTGATGTCAAAATGCTCACATTTAATATGGAATCAATTTCGATTGAAATGAAACCGTGTTTACTCATTTTGGATTGACGAAAGTAAACTGTTTAAATTAACAATTGGAATTTAATCGAACATTCGATATCCAGTCGTTTCCACCGATTTTTTCAGTTTACCAAAACACATTTACTTGAAAACACGCTTTTGAGAGAGATTTGCAAAGCAATTGCCGTAATATTCTATCGATGAATTGGCAAGAAGTTACTGCGTTTGTACTAAATCGATCGTGATTCCTTTCATT